TGGTGAAAGCCCCACACAGCTCATGTTAACTTTAATTGGTATTATTATTATTATTATTGATAAAATGGCCATTTCGAGATCAGCAAGGGTGATCCAACTAATAAGAAATTAGTCCATCTTCAATTAGAGTGTAAGTTAAATACTACTTGTCAATATGAAGAGTTTGTTAAAATGTAATCTATAAGTATCTATAAGTATATTTGTAACCATTGTTCGAAACATAAAACATGCTTTAAAATTGGGGAACTTCTATGATCCAGTTTACTTAAGCTTATTGGACTCAACTATATTTGGATTGTTTAATGCTCAATTAGAGTAATTTGGTTGAATTTAAATGGTTAATTTCTATATACAAGTTTAGTAAAGTATATGTGTGATTTTTTGCACTTATAGGTAATGTGGTGCTAAGCTTGAGATGTACAAGAGAAGAATTTGGCAGAAGTAAGATGTTCAATTTCATCATTATTAGTTTAAAAGAACAAGCGTACATAGTGATTTGAGTCATTAAATTAGAATCCTAAAGTACCTAAGCTAGATTTTGTTAAAATAAATGATGGTTGTGGCATTTTATTAAGTTTTAAGGAGGTACAAAAAGAGGAGAAATGAGCTACTTGCCAATTTTCCACTAGACTACCAATATCTCTTGTCATATTTATTCCAAAATTATAAAAATCACATCAAAATATGTTACTAATTAATTTTGTTAATTTAATTTTTTCTAGAGTCACTACATTCCTCCCCACTTTAGAAATTCAGCCCTCCTATTTTATATGTGTAAATGATATGCTACAATATCATGACAATAATCACTGTCCAAACTGTAAATTTTACAATAATACAGGAGTGGTAAGTTGTGACGTATTATCCCAATCTTAGATCCTTCAAATAGATACTCATCACTGCCACATAATATCCATTGACTTAACTTTTATAATTTCTTAGTTGGATAGACCATTTTAAGCGCTGAGCCATCTGAACATACTTTGGAAAATTACACATCCGCTTAATTTAGAAATCAAGCCCAAAATTTAGCATGTACATTTAAGGACAAATGGAACCCAAATAAAAGTACCTCTTTTTGTAGCCTTTAAATACAAGGTTCTTTGCATAAAATCTTAAACAAGCAATATTTTCAACTAACACAAATTATAAATATGTGTAATAACCTAACATGTAAATCTCTCCTATAATAAAATTTTGCATGCCTTAATTAATTAACCCTCTTTTTAAATAATACTTCATGGTCTTTAATTTAGAATGACCAAGTCAGTTTGTACAACAAACAACAGGAATCATTCCCATTAAGCCTAACATCACATTCTTATCATATAAATAAATTGAAATATGTTATATATAACTCACGGCTAAAAACTATCTTAAGAATTTTCCCCCAACAAAAGCACATGGCTAATAGTTGCTTTGCGAGCATAAAGCCAACACAATCATATTTATGTAAGTCACAAAATTAACTGCTATCACACATGAAACATTATGATCCTAAAGCCATTTTTCTTCTTTTTTGGTTCAAACACCCTAACCCGCCACAACTTCAATCTTCTAATCTTTGGCATATACCATCATAATCATGTAATAATCATTTTGCCACATGAAATGAAATCCATGTGTTTATGATATAGCAAGAACAATATTTTCGACTAACTTATAAATCAAACCTATCAACCACATCTTTAAGCTCAAACTAAACTTAAGAATCGAAGTGTTATCTAGAGCAAAATAAAGAGCTCAAAAGATCAAATTCTTAAACTAAATCATAATTTACAAATATAAGGTTTTGCACATAAATTTAACATGCAAAAATAATTTCCAACTGAGCAACTCTTCAAGTTGAAACCTAAACTCTTATGCACAACCAGATTACTAAAAATCTTCTCAGGACAAGACTATTAAATAGTCACTTTTCAAGTTCAACCAAAGCATAACATATGCAACAACCAAACTGAAGCTTTTCACTGGCAAATCATGGTATATCAACCCTCTTTAAAGTCTGAATCACCAAAACCATGTGCAAAGAGCCAAGCTGCTGTAACTAATTTGGCATTAGAGTTTATGGCCATATGGTCTAGTTAAAAGTTTATAACCAAATTAATGTATGTAATACTAGTTTCAAATTAGACTTTAAATATATATATAAATATATAAAGTGAACAATTGAAATTTCTAAAATTTCTTAAAATTCTGGGGTGTGACAGATTAAACATAAATACTTTAGAGAGAAAAAATAAAATTAAAAATTCATATAAAATATTTTCGTTGGAAAAAAGATACTTCCTTCAGACCACAATAAAGGGTGTTTTTTTAGAAGCCCTACTTGATTCAAAATATAGAGCATTGGATGGGTTATACATATATATATATATATATATCTTTCTAATTATACCCTTACTTTATTATTTTTTTTACTGCAATAATTAATGAAAATGTTTTGAAAAAGTCAAATGTTATATTTATTCCACTCAATGGTACAATTGGAAAGATATAAAAAATTTTAGAAAATCAAGATTTTAACCAATCTTTTTAAGAAACATAAATTGGTTAACAATGACTTATATTGTAATTCAAAGAGAGTAAATGAATATGACAATCTCTGTCAATTAACTGCGCTGCTTCATCTTTGATTCTTGGTTTCGAAAGTCCCATGATGGGGTTGGGAGGTTGATTAAGTGGGATCCGTAACTATCATTTTCCCATTTTAATCATTCCTTAAACAAGAAGAAGGGGGAACCAATAAAATTGTTGATAGAAAAGTTATAATTTCTGTAAGTTATCATTCAAAACTCAAAGCTTTCATGGAGGATCGATGAGGATCAGAGGAGAATCTAGGGACGGGAGTGACATTATGAGATCTAGTTTTGTTTGTGTGGAAAATTAAAATTAAAATCATTTTATTTTATTTTCTGAAATGAAAACTTATAAGAATTATGATAAAATTTAATATTAAATATGAACTGCCTAGAGCAGATATGGGTAGTCAGTTTATAAAAATTATAAAATTATAAATATTAAGTTAGATTCTATGGATTTAATTTGAACCATCCAAATTGATTCTGAATAGATTTATTAAAAAAATTTATAAATCTTTATTTTAATAAATAGACAATAGAAATTAAAATTAAAAGCTTTAATCTGCACCTTTGCAAATTTAAAAATAAACCCCCATTCCATGCTTCCAAATTAAGGGGTTTTTTAATTAAAAAAATAAGTGATTTTAGATAGTTTAGAGATTTTAGAAAAAGCAATTTATTTTATAGAGATTTAAAAAAAATCAAAAATTGTTTTATGTTTGGCTACAATAAAAAAATCATTTTTAACCAAAAGAAAAAAAAATTAACATATACTGAGTTAACAAATATACAGAATATTCCAAATCTAAGTCACATATCTACAATCATTCTCTGCTGAACCACTTAATAACGCTATCTCATTCCTCATTCTGTCACATGCTTAGACTAAATCTCAACCTCACACGCAATGTTCCTTTGTTCTTTTACCTTTTTGTTTTCACCCATTCGTTCTATCTCTACTTGCTTTATAGAGACATTAGTAAAGATATATATATATATATATATATCAGCTCAGGTATTCCCTACCTCCACAATCCACACTGACCATTGCTCTTCACCTTCCTTGAACTAAATTCTCTGCATTTTCTTTCTTCTTTTGTTGCAGATTTTGGTTCTTCCCTGTAGAATCTGCATGCCTCAAACATGAACGAGAGGAAATCGATGTGAGACAACTCATACTCACAAAGCAGAACGGCCTATCTTTGTCTTCCTCTCTCCTTGATGCTATTTACAATTCAACCAACCAATCAAAATCAGATCTTGATTAAGATTCCAAACTAGGTCTTTGAAACAAAGCTCTCTGCTCAAAACTTAGCAATCTCAGCCATAGGTATGGAGTTTCTCTAGAGAAAGAATATGGCAGAGTTAGGAATACGAGTATTCTTCGCTGAGTAGTTATGGTTGAAGATTGGATGCTCCTTAGATTGCAGCTCGGAAGGATTCTTCTAATTTGTGAGCATGAGGGAACACATCAGTAAGTGAAAAGGTAGGGGATGTGCGTGAGAGCAATCTTAGAGAGTTGGCAAGATAGGGCAAATAGAAGTAGACTGGAGGAGACAAAGAAGAAGACCACTGACGTTGAGAGGAAGAGAAGACAGAAGATGATGTAGAAGAGAAAGAAAAAAATTGGCAGAATGTTGAAAACATACATTATATTTTGTTCTAAAAAAATATTTCCTGAAAATAGCTCTATTTTTTTATTTTCTCTCTCATCCAAGGCATGACTTATTTTAAGGAGCTACTCAAATTAGTTTCTATAAATAGTTAGATATATTATCTTTTTAGATTCTGATTATTTTTAAAATCTTAAACAAACATATTGAAATGTGTCATAAGTGATTATTTTTTATAAAAAAAGCTTAAACAAACAAGCTTTAAATTATATTATATCAGTTTGCCATTTATCTTACATATTTCTCAGGCAAAATCTCTGGGGATTATGGCTCATATTTCTCATTCAACATATAGCTCATATTTTAAGTTACTAAATCTTTGCACATTCCATATTGGCATCATATTCCCGCAAGCCAGTGTGCAAAAATACTTAAAATTAGGATCATAAATTATCAAACCAATATCGTATTGACATTCTGTTCAACGGCCACCACTAAATTTCATTTCATAACAAAAAGTATTATCCTTTGCAAATGAGTCCCCAACTATTGGTACGTAATTCGTGGACTAATTAATCCACAAATCAAAATTAAAATGACAAACATGATTAAAAATAATATTACTAAAATTTTATTTACTTTTCTTACCAATTTTTGTCCCCCATGTTTACCCATTATAGCAACCTTGGCGAGCGAAGTTATCAAAAATCATCAAAATGCATGATATTTTGTTGAACACTGGCTATTACAACATTACGTTTGTTAAATAAAAAAAATTAACAAAGCACGCACTCCTTCATTTCTCACAAAAGTTCATCAACCATGTCAAACAACAATTATTACAAATATGCATTCATCATACAAGTAATGTGCCAAGCATATTTCTAAAGGGAATATACAACATAAATTGAAAATAGAGTAATACTTATTCAATGATGTTGATGATTTTGCCTTTCCATAATCAAGTTCTTGATCTTGTTTAAAGATACTACAACATTTGTCATATTGCTTCGCATTGTAGGAAAATCAGTGCAACAATTTAATGCCAATTCCAAAATGCAGGATGTAGAAGTCAATATATCACCAATATGTTCTTCATCTCCCTGCAATAAATTGGAATCTATGACATTAATTATTTTATGTGGTATTGAATCACTTACCCAACTCTTCAAGTCTAATCCTGAGGCAAACATGTCTTCTGTTGGTTTTTTTCTTGTGAACACTTCTATTAATATAATTCCAAAGCTGTACACATCTATTTTCGTTGAAACAACTCCAGCAAATCCATATTCTGCATAGAATTGTATTCAAGCACGTAAAAAATCAATTTCTCTCTCAATCTAAGTTTACAAACTAGAATAAATTAAAAATAAACATTTTAATTTTCTGATTAAGATAAATGGTTCAAAAAACCAATAATTTATATTTATGTTTCTTGTGGTAATCATTACACTAATATTTTTTATACATCATTACAATAAGCCAATACTTGAAAGACTTGTCTTTAGATCTGGAAAAAAATAAAATAAAAAACTTTCGTGAATGCAATTGGATTTTTTTTTTATGAATTTATGTTCATGCTAGAGTAAAATACATGTCATAGTGCATGATTTCCATCCCCCTCTCACATATCATATACATAGATATAAAAATAATTAGAAATTAGAAATTAGAAATTTCTTTTTGTTGCCTATTTTATACGAGAACCTTCTTCAAGTAAAAAAAAATAGACTCTGTGTGCGCGCGCGCGCGTGAGAGAGAGGAAGAGAGAGGGAGAGTACTTTTCTCTATAGAAGAATTTGGGAGAAATGGTTTCAAGTATTTATTTGATAGGTGACTTTCATGCCATGTGAATCATCAATTAAACTTCTTATCTATAGAGACTAAATCAAGAAGATCTATTGTTTTGTAGACAATCGTAGTGTTGCTCATAGAAAGTAATGAATATGTTGTATGTTAATTTTCTATGATATTGATAATTTAAATAATAAGTGATAGGATATGAAATATTTCATATGGATCATTTATTAAATTGATTCCAATGCAATCTAAAACGAAATTGAGGAAGGAGAGCAATTGCGAAATACAAATGCAAAAGGAACATGATGAAGCTGGGTTTATAAGAATTACCAGGTGCAATATATCCAATAGTAGGTATCGTCTCTGTATGTGTTTTAGATTGCCCTTCATCTAAAAGTTTGGAAATCCCAAAGTCACTCACATGAGCAACCATATCACCATCCAACAAAATGTTACTTGGCTTCAAATCACAATGAACTACAGGTATTGACAAGCCATGATGGAGATACTCCAAAGCATATGCTACATTTATCATTATATTCAGCCTTTGTAGAAAATCCAAACAATAGTTATGAGAATATAACCATTTTTCAAGGCTCCCATTAGGCATGAACTCCATTATTAAACACTTGAAATCAACATTGGAACAACTACTTATGATCTTCACCAAATTATAATGGCGCACATTACGCATTGTGTTGCATTCCACCTCAAAGCTCCTTGACATTTTTTCAGAATCAAAATTAAATACTTTAATTGCAACCATCATCCCATTCAAAAGCTTTCCTTTGAACACATCACCATAACTCCCCTTTCCAAGAAAGTTACTCTCATCAAATCCATTAGTTGCCTGTAGAATTTCAAAATAAGAAATCCTTCTTGGCACTCCTAAAATTGATGAATCCCTTTCCAAACAATCCCTTGAATTTGGCTCTCTTTGTTTTAAAAGGAGAATGCCTAAAACAATCAAAATTATTGACACAAATACGGGTAATGTGCACTTGAATAAAAGTGATTTTGCGACTGACCTTTTTCCTTTTCTACAAGGAGGTACTTTTAGTTCTTGTTTACCACAAAGAGCTTTATTCATCAAGAAAGATTCAGCAGTCAAATTTTTGAAAACACCTCCACTTGGAATCTCTCCTCGTAGTTTGTTAAATGAGAGATTGATATACTTTAGATCAACAAGTGACTCCAAAGATATAGGAATCTCACCAGACAGATTATTGTGGGAAAGGTCCAAATTCATTAAACTTTTAATATTTTCAAATGATTCAGGAATATTTCCTTGCAAATTGTTATGTGCTAAGGAAAGAATTTGCAACGTCAGCAAACCACCCATGGTTGAAGGAATGATACCTGAAATATGATTTCTTGACAAGTCCAATGACGTAAGAGCTTTTAAGGTTCCAATATTGAATGAAAGATTTCCAACTAAACTATTGGAAGACAAGTTCACGATCAATATGTCCTTCAAATTCCAAAAAGAAGAGGGTATCTCTGAAGTTAACTTATTAGTGTCCAAGTGAAGTTCTCGTAAGGAGGTAACATTTCCTATGCAATGTGGTATTGATCCAGAAAACTTGTTCCCACTTAGATATAAAAAGGCAAGTCTTGTGATTCCACAAAGCTCTTCAATGATTGCACCATGTAGCTCATTGCCTTCAAGACTCAAATACTGAAGATCTTGTAAACTATTAATTGTTGTTGGAATCGTTCCAGTCAAAATGTTTTCTTCTAAAGATAGTTTATACAGATTAGTGAGATTCCCATAATTTGTTGGAAGGCTACCTAATAACAAATTGTTAATGAGATCATAGCATAACTTTTCAAAATTGATATGTTAAAAATATTTTGCATGTACAGATCTCTACTAGATTTGTCCAGTGACAAGCATAACATGTCAACCTTAAAAAGATTTCTTATTTCTACATGTGTACTTAATCTAGAACCAAAATAGCAACTGATGTTTTAGTGAAGTTAATAACAAAAAATAATGACAAAGATTAGTTTGGTAATTGACTTCATATACCAATGATGCTTGCTTTACAAAAGTTATCACCCTAGATTTTACCTTTCAGTTCGTATATATGTTGAAGCATAGTGAAGTTTCTATTGCCTTCTAATCTATAGCTAGAAAGCTCATTAAAATTTAAATATGGCAACCAAGGAAATCAAAACTAACGCTACTATGATTGCTTATGCGTAAAATGTCTTATTAAGAGAAACATGATCAGCACTTATAATTTAACGTACCTTTTAAGTTATTGTAACCAAGACTTAATGTTTGAAGCATAGTTAAGTTTCCAATGTCTGCTGGTAGATCTCCTACAACAATAGAAAATCATTATGCTATGAGGGTTAAAAAATTAAATGTTATACTGAATGAAAAATGAACAGTAGGTTTGTGGATACTATTTATGTTATTTGAAAGTTATTATGTAAATTAAAATCTAATAAGGTATAATAAAAGTGAAGGTACATAACAGTGCAAGGTGATAGCTTTTATGATCTTGGAATTTCATGAAATGGCTGGATAAAATTGATGGCTTGTGGAACTTTGTGGAGATGATTGACTGTGTATATATATATATCCAAAAATTGTTAATCAAAATATAACCAGTTAATGGGTTTATCCCAAAAAAGTATAACCAATGGCTACTTTAGGGTATCCTGTAAGAGGAGCAATCACCTTCGAAAATATGATATTTACTGTCCAAACATTCAGCAGTTTAAATTAGAATAATGTACTCTCTTTAAACCACAATATAAGTCATTGTTAACTAATTTACTGTAACATCCCAAAACTCAGGCCTGAGTGCTTGTAAGAATAACAAGAAGTTTTGATAAGAAGGTCATTTTGGACTATTAAATCAGAGTTATAATAGAATGCTCCATAAAAAAAAAAAAAAGAACTCAGGATAAGTGAAAGTTAAAGGAAATTCCACAAGTAATATATATATATATATATATATGAAATCTACGTGTCTAGTTTTATATAAAATTTATTAGATTATAAATTATGAAAAAGCGAGGACAAACATAGAATTCTCCATTGAAGTATAGAAATGCCTAAGAATACAAAGAAAATTTAGAAAAGAGAAAGTTAAAGCTAGTAGGGACTAACTTGTGATGATTCTTTGTTTTAACCAATAACGCCCTAGGTTATTGGGTGGATTAGAGGGAACTTAAATCATACTAAATTGATATAAGTTATATTATTAGGTCATCAAAATTAATGTTTTAAGGAAAGAGAAATACAAAAATGAAGATGATCAATATTTATTAATATTTATTCAAAATGGTTATTTTATGGTTATTGAAATTTACCATGTATTTACATGAGGGGAAAAAGAAAAAGAAATGACCCAATATGAGATAAAGTTTAAGAGTGCAATGTATATTCATTAAATTGAGTCAAGCTTAAAAGATTGATGGCAAGCACGTGATATACATGTTAAAACGTTATAAGAACATGTTGAGTAGGATACATGTACTAAGTCAAGAAAACCATGTAACATCAATAGGTTGAGACATCTCATTTGGATATGATGCTAATTGAAACAAAAGAATTAACGTTAGTACGTTACATGAAAATTCAATAGTATAATTACCACTAAAATCAAGTATGGAGATTAGGTGTCAAAAAGTTATATCAAAAGGGAAGTGTCGAAGGGAACAAATTAACACCTCGATTATATGATATTCTCTTTCCCACTAACTCTTGCACATGCAAAATTGGTAAATGGAAATGCATGAGGTGGCGTGTTAGGAGACTAAGAGAAAAGAAGGAAGGAAGGAGCATGTGACTGCAATTGAAGAATGAAGCAATCTTCTTTTCTTTTTATTATCTAAAAGTAAATTGTGATAAATAGAGAAATTAGGTGGCAAGCTTATGTTGAATAGTGGTAATGAATTAGGTGATGTGTTAGCATGAGAAATCAAGAAGAATGCCACAAATTTAAATTCAGCTGCTGCCACGTTATTAATTTATTTATTTTTAATATGAAGGTGATATTCTGGTTAAATTGAGCAACCAGGTTAAATGAAGAGGCAAATATGAATTTGATCGTTATTTGCATTTCATTTACCTCTTCCACCGCTTCCATGTGGCAACAACCAAGCTAATTCATTCCCTCATCATCTAATATATTACCACTTCCATTCCATTCCTAGGTCCATATCCGGGAGGGAGAGAAAAAGAATCCCTTGGCATTTTTGAAGAGAGAGAGAAGACGAGAAGAAGAGGTGGATCCAAATAACAAAACCTCCTCTAATTCTTAATCTACATTCACAATTCTCTCTTCAATCTAAGAGTTGCATCATCACGGCTTTAGAATCTTGAGAAGTCAAATTTGAAGGTCTTAAAGAAGAATCAAAGGCAGGCCTCAAGGTGAATTTGCTGCTTGAAAATAAACAAGAAACTCAAGGTAGTGACCTTGCCCGTATCCCTTGTGCATAATGTTGTTCATCTATTGGCATTATTGTGATATTCTCTTGCTTCATTTTGTGAAAAGTATGAAGGTGTTTACTGTTAGTGTATGGCTGCGTTTACGTGAGTATATATGTTTCTGAATGCACGAATAGTTAGTGAGAACATTAACACATGCCATGGTTAGTTATAACATGCTTGCAAATTTGAAAATGATTGTATGGTTGTACGGGATTATGTTACTTGCGGATTTGGCTTGCGTTGCTACTGGGATTGTAAAATCTCACCCTCCCAAAATATTCCAGCCATTCTAGAACGCTCAAGCAAAGGGAAAGAACTCATGGAAGAAGCAAAATGAAGGCATGATATTAGAAAGACTCCCTTGACTCTGTTTTGTGTGTTTTGTAAATAATTTTGTATAAAGTGGTATAGTAAGTAACTAAAACATTAAATTCTGTTTCTATGTTCCTTTAAGAGTGTGATCATGCGCTGAAGTGAAGAACTCACATTTTATTTAAGTTAGATATGAATATGGAAAGCTTGAGTTTGGAATGTTGAATGGAACTATAGTATTGTTTTGGGTCCCAAAGCTAACCTAAACAGAGCCAATGGTTATGATGATTTTTATGATCAAACTCAACATGCCAAAGTTCAATATAAACTTGAAACCATGCTTCTTGATGTTCTAAAACATAAGTAATAAATTTAACAAGCCAGAGATAGGAAATCTGGAGACAGTGAAGAGTATTCTACACAGCGTTACATTTATTGATTGATATGCATCAATTTAACGATCAAACATCTTGTATTATATTTTTATATAATTTAAGACATGCCAAGGTTTTCATAAAGACCAAGATATTGTTAATTGGATCCCTATAACTCAAGCTAAGATTTTTCAAATTTAGACCACAAAATCTGGATCCATTACACAGCCAGGATAAGATAGTCTTAAATATTCAATAAAATGTATCAATAGGAAAATCTAAAGTTACATTTCATATTTTTTCCATGTATATAAAGTCATAACGTTTCTAAATAGTTAAACATCACCTCAATTGGAGTTCTATAACTATAGTTATGAATTTTGTAAAATAGGACATAGAAATCTGGATTCAGTATGATTAAGAATAGAGCAGTTTTGAAGATTCATTAAACTGTACTAACTGGAGGAGTAAAAGTTGTGTGCCATATTTTTATCTAATACAGGACACCTACGGCTTTATAATAAGTCCTAGATCACCTGGTTTGGATAAGTATAGTTCAAGATATGAATTTACAAATCTAAGGCAAGAAATCTGAAAAGTGGACAGGGGAAAACAGAGCAATTCAGCTAAACGAATAAACTGTGTTAATTTTCTGAGTAAAATTCATGTTTATATTTTTTTTCCTATATAGAGGACTCATTTATCATTAAAAGGAGACATGAATTAGCTCAAAATGAATTTTATACGATAAGTTATGAATTTTTGAAATTAGTCCAAAATTCTAGAAATATCAAGTTATATTAACCACGATTGAGTTCAAACTTTTAAGTCCTTCTTTTTTCTAATTGCCTCTAATGGAACCTAAGATAGCTCCGTTGCTGAATAATGGTTCCTAAAATAGGATGTTTCATTTACATTTTAAAAAATGGTTAAAATATTGATTTTTAAAAAAATTCACATATTTACAATTACTAGTTTTCCCTTGAGTGGAGTAAATATAACATTTAACTTATTCAAAACATCTTTATTAATTACTTGAATAGAATATAATGAAGTAAGGGTATAAGTGAATATATATACATATATATATATATATATAATACACAATGCCCTATATTTGGACCAAGTGAGGCTTCTAGAAAATGCCATATATTATGGTATGGAGGGAGTATTCTTTAGAAGAGAAAGGGGTGATCCGTGCTCATAGCTCGGGAATCTATCTAGCTTGAGTAAGGCTTCTCTTGTACTAGTTAACACTACTCAATAATGTCGAGAAAATAAAGAAAATAATATGTATCAAAGAGTTTGATTTTCCATTAGATTATAAAGTAAAATGAAAGTAAAAAATTAGAACTAAAAATTAAATTTATTGAAAATAATTTTTGTCCAGGTATATTATTGAGGTTCATTTTGCAAGGCTACAATCTAGAACCAAATAGTGGTTTTTTTTTTTAATCACAGGTGTTTTATTTAGTATATCATTGTCATACATCATAGTGGAGGTTGGAATTGGGGCGGGTTGGCTGCAATGATTTTTAGCCAATTGAGATTTAGAAATTATACAAATTAATTTTATATTTACTAAAATGAAGTATCTAATTTTTTATTTTATCTTATATTTTTTATCCTACTAGATATTTGAACTTACGCCCAAGTGGTTCACAGCCAAGCAATGGACCACAGATAAAAGTCAGCTAGTCACTTTATACTTTTGTGCCAAAACAGGTTTAATATATTCTCCTGAGATTTTGTTTATTTTTATAAATATAATTTATTCTGTCGTGGAGGATTTTCATTTTAATGAAAATAAGAGATATGGAATTCCAATTTGTTCTATGGTCTTCATTAATATTAGTGCACAAAAGATCAGTCAAAATATATATGCTATGATTAAATTTAGAGATTTGACGTAATGGATGATACATACCTGTGAACGAGTTTTCTTCTAAGTATAACTCTTTGAGTTGCTTGCATTGTATCCAACTAGATGGTATAGCTCCAAATAATTTGTTGTGTCCAAGATACAAAATTTGTAATTTTGAAAGTCCATGACATATATTAGAAGGAATGCCTCCCCACAAATTATTTTCAGTCAAATCAATATTTTGCAACTCAGACATGTTGAAGATAGTTGACGGTATTTGGCCAAAAAATTGATTGACATCTAGATAGAGAGTTCTCAGGCTTTTAAGATTACCAATCTCTTTAGGAATGTCTCCTGATATAAAAAAAGACTCCCATCAAATCTATTGTAATCAATGAAAAACTTAAGTCCTCCTCAATTTACAATTTTAAAGTCAATTTACAGGGATTTAGATTCAGTGACTGTACTTAATACAGGTATTGAATACTTGTACCATTTAAACCATTAAAATATAAATCAACGATTTAATAAATTCACTCATTTATTAATCTTAAGTGAAGTATAAATTCATAGCCATTGATCTGGATTTTAATGGTTCAGATGGTACAGCCATTCAATGCCTGTATTAAGTACAGTCACTGAATCTAAATCCCAATTTTTACAGCTGCAATAAACTTGTGGAGTTAATTGCATTAAAGTGACATATAGCTTTGAATCAAATAAAACAAAAAAACTACAAGTGGAGTTAATCGTACAATGAGCATGATAACCAATAAAAACAAAAATTTATTGTGATGAATCAAAAATAGCTTTTAAAGTAGAAAATAAAAGGATAAAAAATTATAACGCTCTTGGACCCTAATGAAGCTGCAACAATTTATTGTCTTTTGGAATTTACCTCCATTTCAAATAAAATAATATCTTAACAATTTCTGGTCTGTGCAGTGTTAGCAATTAGGGACTATTAGAAGGAAATTGATTAGCACACGAAATTATATGTTAAAATATGCCACTTGTATATTTTTAATTTTTTGTTATTGGCTTTTGGAATGTATATAAACCCTACATTGTCAACTAAAATAGGCATTTTTCAAGATCATACATATTCAATGGACAAATTAAGGGTTAACTATTAAACTTCAACTTGTTTATGTGTCTGGCCAAAAATACTTTATTCAATATGAGTTAGTTAACAACTACGGTAATAATCAGTGGCACTTGTGGTTTTCAATTTTAATATATATATATATAGATATATAAACATTTTGAATATTACCTCACATGTAAAATTCTAGTATGGGCAAAAATGATAGTGAATTACGTAAGAGATTACTTTCAACAAATTAATCTATTTAAATTTATATCTACCAAAAAAAAAACATTCAGCATCATAAATTTAGTTAACAAACTGCAAGCAATGAGCAATAAGAGCCATTTCCACAAATTCTCTTGGGACGCATAAAACTCTTTACGTCTGCATCGTGCGCAATTCATTTATTCAAGTATTTTTTAGGTTGTTGAATTGATTTGGAAAAAAAATTTATAGTAAAACTTTTTATTTAAATCAAAGTAATATTTGGTGAACATTTTAAATTATTTTAGAAAGCCACATTAGTTTGCTTTGGACAGTGTGACTAATCTTCAATTCCATGCAACAAACAAGCCAACATATATTTTAAATTGCTTGTATGAAGCCAAAAAGAAAAATAAGTCATATTATAAAATAATTTTTATATTTTATAATAAGTTATAATTTTTATAATAAGTCACTGCAAAATTACTTAATTCAAGTATTCTATCCATCACAATTTATAAGACACTTTTCAAGAAGATTCAACTCTCAAAAATATAATACACTTTGACCAAGAAAAAAAGGTTTCATTACTGGTGCTTTTCCAATTTTATAAATTACTAAATATTAAATTATAAAAACATAAAATAAGTTGATAAATTAAAAATATTAAATTATAAAAAATTCGACATATATTAATTTAATTTGAAATAACCCCTTAAATATATAAAGTTAAATATATGTTTTTCCATATAACACATATATTTGCGTGCATATCACTAATTAATATCAAATATTATAATATTCCTCCTTTTTTGAAATATTAGAATAAAATGTATCAAAATAATTATCTTAATATATCTTCAATAAAATGCATGCAAAAATGATAAAAGAGGTAGAACAGAAAATAATTATTTTAATATTTTCCTATGATTTTGATTCCTCTCCTATGGCGAAGCATAGAGGTCAAAAGAGAGGAGAAAGAAATAGACAAGAGAGCAAAGAGGGAAGAGTAATCGCAATTTACTGCAAAATTTAAAAAGTTATTTCACTTAACTTTATGAAAAACTTAATTATCATAAATATTAAAGATATCCTGAATTATTCGTAGTGTAATAATTAATTAGTAGAGTTATCAGAATTATATGTGATTATGTATAATAAAAAAAATGTGATATTAACACTTCTCACTTATGCTGAAGCTCTTTGATAAATTTGATATATTAGACATCATCAAACAATTATTTTTTATTATATTATTTACTTGCAGGACTAATAAAAAACTAATCATATCAGTACTATGTTAAATGAACATAAACTAAAGAGTTAATCCCAAAGAAAAAGATTATATAGAAATAAAGTCTAATTTTACCCCAAAAAAAAAAGTTTAACTTGACACACAACAGTAATATATAAAGATAACCTTTAATCGTATTAAAATTAAATTTGGTAAAACTATAGGACATTAGTTTTTAACCTTCATAAAATTATAGATGGAGCTTTGTCTGTTCCAAACAAACAAAATGCTCACAAGACATCCTAACCAGCATTTCTAAAATTATTGGAGAAGGATTTTTTTTTTTGCCAACCAATACTAAATACTTTTTTTTATATTTAAAGAATTGTTAGAAAAGAAAATTTCACTCTCACACAAATTTATAAACAAAAGGAAAAGTAGGAAAAGAAAATGGATTGTTGTTCATAGTAAAGGAAAACCTATATAGCCAGAATATCATAATTTGATTGAAACAATTACCTTGTAATTTATTATGATAAAGACCTAGCTATTGATGCATATGCAATTTTCCAATGCCATTTGGCATATCATTTACAAAAAAAAAATTAATGCTTAATGATATAGAATTCAAACTGGTCACATATATCTATTGAGAATATTTCCCACGTATGTGATAAAGACACACGAAAGATGGCTTGCTAGGAATATTTCTTGTAATTTAGATGCAGATAAAACAAACATAACAATGCTATGATTTGTTGGGTATACCATACCTTCCAAATTGTTGTAATTAAGATATAAGAATTGAAGCTTAGTCAAGTTTCCGATGCCTTTTGGTATATGGCCTGAAAGAAGGACACTTATACTCATAAGGGACACATGCATGAGTTAAAGCACAAATTGTCTAGTTCTATTGAAAAATCACACATTGCTATGCAAATGTGGATTTACAATAAAATGATATTATAGGAAGTAATTGAAAATTTTCACTTGCTCTATACCTGTATTCACAACACATTCCACATCATCATTATACAAATGATCTTAGATTTTCTCCCGTAAGGCTGGCTATGTAGATTAAAGATGCTTGTAACATGTTTGTTTTAACTACCACTAGTTCAAATAATGTGAAAAATATTGACTCAAACCACTAAATTTATAGTGATAGTCTTTAATGTAATAATATAAAACATACTCCTACCTATTCTTAAAGATATGTCCAACATTTTCATATATTTTAAGAAAATACTGTTACATTGTTAGTTTGTTAGAAATAAAAAGATTCCAATATAATCCCTTTTAATTAGAGAAATGATTCTAGATTTTTTTTTTTGAGAAATAATCCTCCTTGGGCTTACTCCCTCTATTTTTATTTATAGGAGAAATTGTCCCTTTTGCTTTGTTTTCTTATATAAGCAAAATTACATTTTTTTAATATGCATTTATTACAAATTTTCTAAATTACCCCTTATAATTCAATCATTCACAATCACGAGAAAAAGAGTGAGATTAAATAAAAGGTATTTTAGTCTAACTCGTTTATTTTTAGGCACAATTAATATAGTTAACTAATTTTTTTAAACTATGTGATACAGCCTTTTCTCCAGCAAATAGAAACAGAGGCAGTATGTCTTAGTCCCAGTCCAAAAGCTTAATATTCTACAATGATCTAACATATGGTATCAAAAGTAAGTTGCTCAGTAGTTTATTTTATATATGTGCATGTATTATGTGACTGTAAGATCTAGTAATTTGCTAAACTAAAAAATTGTTTTTGGGGTACCAACTTTTAGAAAGAGAGAGATATATAGGTGTTTAACGCAAAGGTGGGAGTGGGAGAGATCATAACATGAAGCCCATTCAAAGAAAAAGTTATATCACATCATAATTTTTAGTATATAAGATCATAATTTTAAAATTGCCCTGATCTAATTTTTTTTATTGGGAAAATTAGTTATTTGATCATTCAACTTTTAACTCAGTTATGACTAAGTCCCTCAAGTTTAATTTGTCATGACTTAGTTTCTCAAGTTTGCAATCAAAATAACATTTGATAAGACTGACTTTAGGGTGTGTTTGGATTAGAAATTGCAAAATTCAAGTTTGAATAAATTGATAACAGAAGTTAGGATAAAAACATTGACGTTAACTAATTTGCATGTATATAATTAATTATTATCATCAATTATAATATTCTCCCTTTTATAAATATATTAAAATAAAATGTATCAAAATAATTATTTTAATATATTTTGCATAAAAGGCACAAAAAATAATAAAAGTGGTAGAACCAAAAATAATTATTTTAAATCTTCCATTTAAATTGAGAAGAGGGGAATAAACAAAAGGACAAACAGAGAAGACTAAATGAAACTCATTGCAAAAATTACTTAATTCAAGTATTTATTTCATCCTAATGTATAAGACACTTTTTGAAAAAATTCAGCATTCCAAAATATAATACACCTTTTTTTTAAAAAAAAAGGCTTCATTATTGGTACTTTTTAATATTATCCTTTCTATATATTCTCTCTCTTTAATGTTCTTTCACAAACGGAGTGTTAAATGAATGACATTTTTAAAAGTTTATATTTCTGTCTTGAAAAATTAAGTAGGAAAAGTAGCAAACGAAAATGCATTGTTGTTCATCATAGTAATAATGAGAAAACAACTAAAAAGGGAAAAAACTATAGTAGCTGGAATACCATAATTTTAAGAAAAAATTACCTTGTAAATTATTATAAGTAAGATGTTGCTCTTGAAGCATATCAAATTTTCCAATACCTTCTGGTATATCACCTAAAAAATTTAATTCCTAAAGATATAGAATTCAAATTGGTCATGGATATATCTATTGAGAATATTTCCCACATATATGATAAATACACAAGAAAGATGGCTTCATCCTACAAGTGTCCATATATGATAAATTTATTTTACCAAATCTAACTTGTAGATCCTTATTTCCAGTTTCAGCCCATGTATAATTATGACTTAGTCCTTCAAGTTTAACTTGTCATGACTCAATCTCTCAAGTTTGCAATCAAAATAGCATTTGATAAGATTGATTTTAGGGTGTGTTTGGATTAGAAATTGCAAAATTGAAGTTAGAATAAATTGACTAACAGAAGTTAGGATAAAAATCATTGACGATAACTAATTTACATGCATATAATTAATTATTATAATCAATTATAATATTCTCCCTTTTATAAATTTTAAAATAAAATGTATCAAAATAATTATTTTAATATATATTGATTAAAAGGAACCAAAAATAATAAAAGTGGTAGAACCAAAAATAATTATTCTAAAATCTTCCCATGATATTGACTCCTTCTTGTCACAACAGAAGAAGACAAAGCACATAGATCAAAACTGTGAAGAGGGGAAAAGACAAAGGACAAAGAGAGATGAGTATATGCAACTCACTGTAAAAATTACTTAATTCAAGTATTTCTTCAATTCCAATTTATAGGATAGTTTTTGAGGAAATTCAATGTTCCAAAATATAGTACACTTTGAGAAAAAAGTTTTATTACTAGTTCTTTTTCAATATTATCCTTCCCACATAATTTCTTTCTTTAATATTTTTTCACGAAAGGAGTATTAAATGAACGACATTTTTAAAAATTTATATTTTTGTCCTAAAAAAATTAAGGTTATAAGGTGCATTTAATAAGCTTGTTTGATATTTAAAATTCTAAAAATGTCTAATAAATTGGGAAGAAGGTAGTACTTTTTTTTTTATAACAAGTGTATAAACGTAGCTAGGTTGCTTTTCATGGAGGGGTTGGATTATCATTTTTTTTTAGTTTGAGTTTGTGCATCATCCCTTAAATGATTAACATTTTATTTAAAATAAAATTCAAGGAATCATCCTTCAAAAATCGTGGCTTCTAAGAAATGTTATCAAATGTAATTACATTCATCACACACAAGCACACATTAATACACATGTGGGGAGCTTCAGTTGGGTTTAAAATTATTTTGGAAATCCCATAAAAAACAACTGTGGGTAAAAAGGATTGTAGAGATATCTTACGCATTCGCGTGCATAACGGTTCTCTGGCTACTAATAAAATGTCAAAATAATATAATCTGCCAAGTTTTTGTAAGGAAACATCTTTTTAATACCTACTATATATATATATATATGAAAGTGAACAAACCAATTAATCTCATACAAAATGATTTTATAGAAACAAATTTTATGCTCAATGACAATATATAATGATAGCATTTAATGTCGTATTAAAATTGAAATTGGTAAAACAATTGCAAGTACAGTTCTCTAATTTCCATTTTTTTTTAGTTCTAGTTTACAATTTACAGGGAACATGTGAATGGAGATGTCATATTTTGATGTTGATGTTTATATTAATATTATCACTTAGTAAATGTATATCAACTCTAATATATTAATTAACTGTATTTTGACTAGAAATGTATTGCTTTTTATTAAGACTAGAGAACAAATTTTTATTGCAAATCCTTTTTTCCTCGATCCAAGTGGAGCTTTGTCTATTACAACCAAACAAAATGCTCCACAAGACATCCTAATATGCACCAATAAAATTAAAAATAACAAAAGACTTCTTTCAGCCAACCAATATTAAAGACTTATCTTTATGTGTAAAAAAATGTTGGAAAAGAAAAATTCACGCACAGAAAAATTTATAAACAAAAGGAATAATAGGAAGAGAAAATGCATTTTAGTTCATAATAATACTGAGAAAACAACTGGGGAGAAAAAATGTAGTAGTAATATGTGATAAAGATATATGAAAAATGGCTTAATGCTACAAGTGTCCATATATGATAAATAATTTTTTTATTTTTAACTCTGTTATGTAGCAGTAAAATTGTATTTTTTACTTTTGACATGCATGATAATGCTCTCATTTTTTTTAGTTGAGTGACATTATTTTTATTGTTCATGATCATGAATACAATTTAAGAGAAAATTATAATTTAATCATTCTTTATTAATTAAAACAACATTTTATATTAAACTATAATTTATATAGTCTTTCTTAATCAATGATAGCTCTTAGATATGTAGCTGTGTTAAAAGTGAAAATTACAATTTTTCCCCTCCATAAGTTATCTTAAAAAATAATAAAAATATTTTTCCATGTTATATGCCATCTGTATTGCATTAATCTAATATGAAAAATTCTATTGATAACATAATATAGTTAATTCACTTAGATTTTAAATTAAAAATTTTCAGTTAAATCCCAAGATATTTTTATAAAATCAAAATAAAACAGAATTTACAAAATTACTCGCATTTTTGAGTAAAATACCTTCCTTTCTTTTATTTGTTTTTTGAGCAAATAAGCTTGATAAATTAAAGTCCTTTGTAATTAAATGAATATGTCCGTTCAAGAGACCTAATAGGAATTCTCCCCTTCTCTATTCAAAAGCTTTGTAATATTAATCAGTCATTAATAATTTTAACCTCAAGGATTAACATGTCTAATTGGTCAAACTATAAGGTCCTGATTAAAAAATAAAATATAGGGACTAGAGAACTAAATTTTCCCAAAATAAAATAAAAATAAAGATTTTCCTATTTTTTATTGTCTTACGAATCAAATATCAATAAAATACAATTAAATATATCAGCAAAGAAATTAAAGTTGAAGATTTGACATAGTGGGATAGCACATACCTGTGAAAGAGTTGTATTCTAATTGTAAGTCTTTGAGCTCTTTGCATTGTATCCAATTAGATGGCAGGGCTCCTAATAATTCATTGACTTCAAGATATAGAAATTGTAAATTTCGAAGTCCATGACATATATTAGACGGAATACTTCCTGAAAATTATTCCAGCTTAAATCAATCTCTTGCAACTCTGTTATATTGAAGATATTTGATGGTATGTGGCCAGAAAGCTTATTAGTATCCAAATATAGAATTTTTAGATTTTGAAGATGACCAATCTCTATTGGAATGTCTCCTGCAAAATGATAAAGAAAAATGGAAACAAAAATAAATAAGAAATATAATTAAACAAGGAGATGTGATATATAATAATAATTAAAGTGTGTGATTAAATTGGGGTTTGCAAACAGGTGAACTTAAGATAAAAATGAGTGACATTAACTAATTTATGTTTGGATACATTTTTCTTAAAAGTCAATTTAACAAATAGAAACTTTTTTGAATGATAAAATTCCAAAGCAAGTTTACGTGTATAATGATTGAAAAAGACATGAATTTTATTTTAAGAAAAATATTAATATTTAAATTATAATTCTAAAAAAAATAATCTATATACACTTAAGTGTTGTTTATAAAATAAAAATATAAAACAAATTAAAAAATTAAAAATATTAAATTCTAAAAATCTAAAATAATTTGATAAATTATAAAATATTACATTATAAAAAGGTCCACATATATTTATTTAATTAGAAATAAGCCCCTTAAATGTATAAATATATATATATATATAAGTTTTTTCATATAACACAAATATTTTCGTGCTTATAATTAATTATTATCATGTGTTATAGTATTCTCTGTTTTTTAAATATTAAAATAAAATGTATCAAGATAATTATTTTAATATGTCTTTAATAAAATGCACGTAAAAATGATAAAAAGTGGGATGATAGAAAAATAATTGTTTTAATATCTTCCCATGATTTTGATTCCTCCCCATCACAAAAGAAGACCAAGCATAGAGGTCAAGGGTGAGGAGAGAGAAATGGACAGAAGGACAAAGAGGGAAGAGTAAACACAACTCACTGAAAAAGTTACTTGAAATAGCTTTATGGAAAACTTAATTATCACAAATATTAAAAATATCATTAATTTATAGTGTAACAATTAATTAGTAGAGTTATCATAACTGTGTGTGATTATGTATAATATAGCAACACCTCCCACTTGTGCTGAAGCTCTTCAATAAATTTGATATGTTTAAGATCATCTAACAATTATTTTTCATTATATTATTTACTTGCGAAACTAATAACAAGCTAATCATATCAGTCCCATGTTTAATGAACATAAACTAAAGAGTTAATACCAAATAAAAAGATTACATAGAAAAAAAAAGTTTAACTTTACCAAAAAAAAAAAGTTCAGTTTTACACATAACACTGATATATTTTTATAAGACTTGAATGTTTTATATCTTCCATTTCAAATTAGTACAATATAACATTACGAGATTATTGAGGAATATACAAAATCAAAATGGAGCCTTTGGCTTTTAGACATATATGCCTATTCAAATTTACAATAACTGCAGCAAATTCGTCCCATAACTTGCATCGGGAAAAAATAATAATATTAGATATTAAAATAACGAAACCACAGTGTTCAATACAATTAAATATCTTAACAAATCATAACGCAAATCACAAGACAAACACATTGCATAGATCTTTTACACAATATATAGTATATATAGATCCCTTATTTTGTTTTAATTAAGCCCTTCTAGTTTCATCTTTTATATATGTTAATCCTCGAAAGTTAAAATTAATAATGAAATATTAGATATCACAAAACAAAAATACTCTTAGAGTTTATAGAAAATTTAATTCAATACTTTTAACCAAAATTGAAAAATAAAATTTGATTTAATACACTTTTTACATCTTCATTAATTTTTATCAAAATTCTATAAGTATACAAAATATTTAGAAGACAACCTAACTATATAAATGTTGTTGTACATGCACGAAATTAATTATATGCAAAGCCATCTATTATATATTTTTCATTATTTAAAATGGCACCCCTTCATTCAAAAGAAAATGGGAAAATATATTTGCAGGTTCTTAAAATTCCACTCAATTTTAAACTAGGCTCTTGTAGTTTATTTTTTTTAATCAAACCTTTATAATTTCATATTTATATATGTTAACCCTTGAAAGTTAAAATTAATAATGAAATATTAATTATCACAAAACAAAAATACTCTTAGAGTTTATAGAAAATTTAATTTAATACTTTTAGCCAAATTCAACGAAAGAAAATTTGATCTAAAACACTGTTTACATTTTTATTAATTTTTTATGAAAATTCTACAAGTATAAAAAATATTTAGAAGACAACATAATTATATAAACTTTGAGTTATAAAATTATGTAATTAATTTTAAGGTCATATAATCATTTAATAAAAATATAAAAGATCTTATTTTTTTAAAAGAAAAATTTAAGTATTTTAACTTTCATGGATTACAAAATTTAATTGATCACACTATAAGTGCTCAATTAAAATAAATTAAACCGTAGGAATTTAATTCAAAATTGAGTAAATTGTGAGGACTTACAAATATATTTCCCAAAAAAATTTGACATCCCAACAAAAGGACCCAGAGGAAGAGAGAGAGAGAGAGAGAAGTTATTATTCACAAGCTTTTAGTATCAATCAATGCGTTGTGTTTTTATTTTTTAAGAGTTAAAGTGCTAATTTGCTCCTTAATTTTTTTTTTAGGTGCTTATTGAGCACCCTCAAATCAAGGGTGGCTCAATGTTGCCTCCATACTTTAAAAGTGAAGCAATGTCTTTCCCCCATTAAATATTTTGTAATTTAATGATTAACTGACTAAAAACATTATAGAGAATGACCTAAAAAATTATAGGAAAAAACCTAGATAATTACAAAAAATTGACCTAAATAATTACTGGAAACAAATAGGTTCTTGTGTCTAATTTTGCTTCTGTGCTTTGTCTTTGGCTAGCAATATTTATTTAGTTTACATTTTTAAAAAGAATAACCATTCTCATTTTATTTTATCTAATGTGGCACTAATAATAAGACTGTCAACTAAGCAATGCAATACTATTAATTACCATAGGTGCCACATGGGATGAGTTACTAAGGACTTAATTACTTGTTGAAAATTAGGGATGAATGGAGAAGACAAAAGAAAGTATAAGGGTTGAATTGTGATAAGTTAAATTATAAGAAATAAGTCACAAACCTAGATGGAACCATAAGGGTTAGAAAATAATAAAATCACCTTGAGATCTGTGTAAAAACAATTAAGTTCTGAGAAAAAGAAAATAATAAACAATTAACTAACAACTTTTGAGATAAATTTTCTCACGTTATATAAAAATAAAAATTACTCTCGTCCTCACATGCATGTTTAGAATAAGTTTTTTAATGTCATGATGTGAAATATTTATCATCTATATACCAACTCATGACATGAAAAGATACAACAAACTCAAAGAAATATAACACAGAAATAAAATCTGATTAATTTATCTATCTTAAATAAATAGACTTAATTATTGTAATTATATCATGCAACCAAACAATAATGTTTAGAGTTATCAACAAAATTACTAATCAGTCATTGCCTTGAAGTTTGAACCCTTGAAGTGTAATCAAATTTGCAATCGCTTTTGGTATGCAACTATAAAGCTGATTAACACTTAATATTATGTTCAAATTTGCCAAATCACTAATTATATTGAGAATATCTACTGGGATGTGATCATTGAAAAAAAATGAAGATATGCTATCAGACTGTAAAGTATGACCATAAAGTGACCAACTTTGAAAATTTTAAAAATAGTTGATATTATATGGTAATAAAAATTTTTTTTGATAGAACTATGATGCTTTTATTAGTTTGACTATTGTCTTTTGGAATAAACCAATCCTGCAATATCCGCTAAAATGGACTTTTTCTTTTCAGAGTCTATGTATAGTAAAAAGGTCATAATAAAAGAAATAAGCAACAAAGAAGACAAAACTTTTGAACCCAATAGGAGAAAAAAGGGAAATAGAAAATTGATGTATCTTGATACGCATCCATTAATTTGAACTCTGTTTAGTGTGACCAATCAAATCCTCATTTGCGATGGGTTTTTGTCAAAACCCTTACAGTACAAAAATTGAGAGAAATAGTGAGACAATATTGTTTCATTATTTGAATAGTTAGATATGTGCATATATTTTAACAACTGGTGCCCTATATTTTTAAGAGCATAGAAACCTTAAAATATACTAGGATTAAGGGTCATTTGCCTGAACTATACATGAAAAGTCACAAATGCCCCTAAACTCAATTATTAGTCAATTTTGTCCCTTAACTTTAAAGATTCCTTCCATTACATTAGCGTTAAAAACACTTAATATCCGTTAGCTATCAATAGGTTCCACTATTTTTTAATATTTTTATCAGGTTAAGGGTCATTTTTGCCCCTCAACTTCTACTCTAAGATGCATTTTTTCCCCTCAATTCAAATATTTTATAAAAAAATTAAAAATATATATATATATATAATGCAGGGCCACTAGTGGTCAACTAATGATGAGAAAACGATAGGGTGATGGCGGAAGGAATCTTTAAAGTTGAGGGACAAAATTAACTCATAATTGAGTTTAGAATCATTTGTGACCTCTTTACAGTTCAGGAACAAAAATGACTCTTAACCCAACGTACAAAAGAAATCAGACTATAGAATACTCAAATTAGTGCTAAAAAATAGACATTTTATTAATAAAAAATAGAAAATCTATGATTTTATAACATAAAAAATAATGAGATGTTGACAGTCAGACAGTTTGAGTTGTCTCAGATCTTCTTTTTTTTTATACAAGAATACGCAAATTTATAATCATACCTACTTCGTACAGCTTATAGAATAGGGACTCAGAAATCATTTGAAGATTTTCCTTCATCATGGTGATCTAAATTTTTGTTAACTTTTTCACAATCAGAATCTTTATTCGATTGTTATTTCATATGATTTTCTTCATAAAATTGGATCTGGAAACAAACAAAAGAATGCTTAATGCACGTCCTTTAACAAGCATATGCAAATTTCTGACATGAGTTTTTAATGTTGTAAAATGTAGATTATATTATATGAGTAATAATTCACAACGTAACTACCAAAAGAATTCTGAAAAATAGATAACTTAAAAACATAAAATTGTCTAGCCAGCTAAAAGAGGATTTCAAGGAACATTTGATCAATTTATCTTTTTGAAATAAGAATATTTTATTATTACCAATATATCATCAAAGTTAACAGTAAAATAATTATCAAATGTATTAATTTGCTTAGGTGAAGTTAATTTAAATATATAATTATCAAACGTGTCATCAAAGTTCCATGAAATGCACAAAATGTGTGCTAACTTTGATAATTTGAATACTCGTAAAGCTGGAATGGTTATGAAAAATGATAATTAACAGAAGTTTGTTGATGAATTTATTCTGACAAGTATAAGTGAAAATTTTACCCCAAAGAAGATCAACTGAGCTTGATAATAAGGCACACATAAATCTACATTAAAATTAAGCTAAAGGATTTCCATATAAAAAATAAACTATTATATCATTGTAAAATAGAGGAAATGGTAATAACACATTATGCAAGACATACCTGTTAAGAAGTTGTAAGGCAAAGACAACTTCTCAAGTGAGGATAAGTTAGAAATAGTTGGAGGTATTCTTCCTGAAAGCTTGTTTACTGCAATTTGTAAAATCTTCAAACATTGAAGCTTTCCAATTTCAAATGGAATGAATCCTTCAACAAAGTTATCATTCCAGTTCAAGGTCTCTAACTTTGACAAATTGGATATGCTTTTAGGAATAACACCTCCAAAACTATTATTACGAAGATGGAAGTGCTGAAGCATAAATAAGCTTCCAATCCAAGTTGGAATTTCTCCATTGAATTCATTGTAGCTCAAGTTGAGAATTTGTAGCTTCTGTAATTGGATCAACTCTTTTGGCAAGTCACCATAAAGGTTATTACTATGAAGGTCAAGTTCAACCAAAAAAGACAAATTCCCAATTTTTGAGGGCAAAGTTCCCTTGAGACCCATCTCCCCAAGATTCAAGGCTATTACTCTCTCATGTTGAGCATCACACATAACCCCAACCCAATTGCAAATGGAAGAAGAGTTGGACCAATTAGCCAAGTGATTGTGAGGGTCCTTGATAGAAAACTTGAAAGCAAGTAGTGCCAACTCATCATTTATAGTAAGATTGGTGTGGCATAAAGTGAAACAAACCTTGAGACAAAGTAGGGAGAACATGAGGAAGGGGAAATGAAAACAAAGATTTGCCATGTTGGATAGCTTCAAGGCTTCTTAGATTGATGAAGTGGTTAGGAGCCCAAGGTTGTACTATATATATACACACACACATATATATATATATATGCTCTTAGAAATTCATAAGCACACCGTTTAAAGAGGATTGATGATTATATATGCATTCAAAACTGTGGATCAGTGATTGAAATTTCTCAACTCAGGTGACATTACCTACCTTTGTATTAACCAGTAACCACCACGAGTCATAATATTGGGATGGTGGGGCCTGCAGTAAAGTTTGGAAATGACACCGAATTGGCATATTCTTCAATTTGTTGGAAATAAGGACCATTTGATACTGGAAATAAAAATTGAATTTGACAGGGAGATATCAATGGAAGGAAAAGGTTTTTATTTTATTTTACATAACACACACACACACACATATATAAACACTTACATAACTACAAAAAGTCCATGCCCAAAAAAATTGCCAGGCTTAAAAAGATATTCATAAAATTGAGTTAACTAGTCAACATTAAATAAAAAATGTTTAAGTACCCCAAAATATAATTCAAAAAATAATAGTTGGATTTATTAGACACAGTAAAAGAAATTAAATAATCCTCATACAAATTGTAGCCTTGTGCAAGATTGACAATGTATGTTCCATTATAAGACATTTTCAACTACTTCATTGAAACTAAAGAATGATAATTAACTCATTAAATAGCTCTTAAAATGAAAAAATTCAAATTCACCCCTATTAAAAATAGGAAGAGAGAAATATACAATATACGATGAAACATAAAATTAAATTTCTAACATGGGTAAAATTGAAAAATAATAATTAACCATCCATTATCCTTGTATTAAGGACCAAAGAATCCTTTTTTAAAGGTGCCCCACAATAGGGACATAGGGAGTATTAATTATATTAGTGTATTTATTAACTTGTTGGAGTACAATCATAACTCATAAGCATTGGTGGTTAAAAATTGCTTGCAAAAGCCAATATGTTAAAGAAATAGAAATATCCAAGGAATTAAGTAAAAATCTTTACTATCATATTAAATTTGACACGAGAAATTAATCATCCTATGATGTCTTATATGGTAAGAATAGAATAAAGTGTTCGCACTGCTTAACAAATGCACACATGCATTATAAATTGAAAATAACAATTATTATTATTTCAACTATGGTTATTTTTTAAATAACACTTACTTTACTCAATTTATAAAATCATATTTGAAATATTTGAACTCGACCAAAAAATAATATACCAACTATTCAATTTATAACATGGAATCTATTGCTTTAGATGACCAAAAACAGATTCTCCATTATTGTGTAATTTTTTTCCAAGATATGAGTACCTAATTGAATTGGCTTGGCGAAAGAAAAATGTGGACACCGTCTTAAAAGATGGACTGTCATGATTAATAGCTCTTTTTTCTTCTTCTCCTTGTTGACTTCAGTAATTGGAAGACTTCTACTATTGTGTACTTTTTTTCTACACGACTTTAATGTTTAGAATGGAATGGAATGACTTAAATATATATAAATTCTTTTTATTCCTCCACTATTATTGTGCCATTTTCTCTACGCATATGAATTGACCAGACTTAGAAATTATGTATCGGCATAGAAAAATAAGACAACCATTATGGGCTTTTTTTCCCCTTGTTGACTTCAGTAGTGGGAAGACTTCTACTATTGTGTACTTTTTTTCTACACGAATTTAATGTTTAGAATGGAATGGAATGACTTAAATATATATAAATTCTTTTTATTCCTCCACTATTATTGTGCCATTTTCTCTGCGCATATGAATTGACCAGACTTACAAATTATGTATCGGCATAGAAAAATAAGACAACCATTATGGTCTTTTTTTCCCCCTTGTTGACTTCAGTAATGGGAAGACTTCTACTATTGTGTACTTTTTTCTACAATGTTTAGAATGGAATGGAATGACTTAAATATACATAAATTCTTTTTATTCCTCCACTATTATTGTGACATTTTCTCTACGCATATGAATTGACCGGACCTAGAAATTATGTATCGGCATAGAAAAATAAGACAACCATTATGGGCTTTTTTTTTCCCCCTTGTTGACTTCAGTAATGGGAAGACTTCTACTATTGTGTACTTTTTTTCTACACGACTTTAATGTTTAGAATGGAATGGAATGACTTAAATATATATAAATTCCTTTTATTCCTCCATTATTATTGTGCCATTTTCTCTACGCATATGAATTGACTAGATTTAGAAATTATGTATCGGCATAGAAAAGTAAGACAACCATTATGGCCTTTTTTTAATAAAATTTGTATTTCTTTATGCGAACTTATCTAAAAAGCAAAAACATTATGGTCTTTTCTTTTTTTTTAATTAAATTTGTAGGACATATGAAGCAAGGATTTCATGGTCTTTTTTTATAGAATGTCATGATCACTCACGACTTATAGCATTTAAAAGCCTTAATTTTTTTTTTTTCGTATAGACTCAAGATAAATGCATATTTAGTTTATTAATGAAAGAAAGCAGTTGTAGTAAAAGAATTGAAGAATGACCAAAGATCGACAACAGGGAAAGGGCTTGATTGTTTGTGGTTATAATATAAAATTTTAAAAAATAACATGTTGGCTGTCATTTTTTTGGCCGAAGAAATAACCATTCAAATTGATGGACCATAAACACAAGTCCCAATAGAGTCAGCCGGAAACAAACAATGGAAGAATATTAAAAAAATAAAAAAAAATCAGCCAACATCACGAACATCAATTCTATTGGCCTCTCATAGGTGATCGAGGTCGACAAATTAAGGTGATCCAATTAACAAGGAATTATTCCATTTTCCATAAGAATATAACTTCAAATACAGCTGTCAACCTGAGGATTTTTCTTGCAAATTGTAGCTTGTTGAAAAATAATATGCAACCTACCTTTCAAATTTTAAGTGGGAAGCATGAAAATCAACTTTAAAGCCAAAGGCATTTGGATAATCTTTTAAATTCTAATCACTTTAAGGACCTTTGGTAGTATATTTCTTGTAGAGGGAATTGATCAAGGTATCTTTTTACCATATTATGTTCCATGCCTTTCCATCATAGCCATAAGAAAGGGATATATATATATATATATATATATCATATAATAGCAGAGTTACAAATTGAATTGTCAAAACTGCTCTGAATTTTCTTACGTATTTCTAATAATAAGTAGTTAAATATAATTTTCTTTTCTTTTCTTTTCACGTTAAATATTGGTTTTATATGTTTTTATGTTTTTCTGGTCTATTTTTTATTTTATCACGCAAACAAAATTAACTTTTTCCCATTGTTTCTATACATAAAGTGATTTTACAACTTACAACTCTCACCCTATTATTTTGATCAAATAATCCAACTGATGAAACACATACCATTTCATTTGTTATTATGAGAGCCTTTGATTCAACAAACCAATAAATGGGCTTAGCTGTGATGTTGCCAGAGAAAGTGATTGGAATTAGGTTAATTAACATTACATGAAAGTAACAATGAAGCATACAAGAAATTCTTTACCCGCATTTACAATGTTGGAAAAGATATTTTGCACTTATCAATTTGTTGGATAAGATACCAAGGCCACATATTATTGCCCCACTTCCTCTGTGCAAAGGACGTATGAATTTACTTGACTTGGAAATACAACATTCTTTGATTATAAAATCAAATGTATTCTAAGAATTGTTAGAGACTAATGTGTGCTATCATAGTCAGATTATTCTAAAAAAAAAAAGAATCACAAGATTTTTTGAGCTTATTCAAGCTAGCCGTACGTTGGGTTTGATCCAAATTACTAGCTCTAACCTTCCCTAATTCATTAATATAACTTGATGTTAACTGAATAAGCCCAAAGAAATCCAAGCCAAGCTCAAACTAGAATAGACTTTAGCCCAAATAACCGAATGCTTTTTTTCTTGTTATAAATAAAATAAAATTAAAATTAGATAACATTTGAAAATCTTAATTTTTTAAGATAAAAATTGGAATTGAATAAAAAAGAAAATAAAAAAATATTTAACAATTTAGGTATTCAGGCCAACCTGAATAAGCTGAAAGCCTGAGATGCTAGGTTTGGGCTTGGCTATATAACCTCTTTTATAAAGTTAATGGGGATTCATGCACCATTATTCACTTAAGGATACTAGAAGCTCTTGGAGAAAAGTTTCTGGATACTTTTACACCTTATGTTGGTTTTTTTTCAGCGGTTAGTGTTAGTGGACATCAAGAAAATTTCATAGATGGGGATTGTTGCTCTCATTAAAACAAGTCCATGGGTAATCATATGTATACCTTTATTCACTTAAGGATGCTGAGTGCTCCTAGAAAAAGAGTTGCTCAGCATTTTTGTCCTTTAAACCAAGAATGTATATCATTGTGTAATTTTTTCCAGAACATATATTGACTGTCTTGACTAGGAAAATTAAGTATAAAATATGAATTGTCACCATTCATGACTTTCTTTTCTCTTTGGCCATATTAACGAGTTGTGTAAAAGGACAAGCCCAATTCATATATCCTCCTCATCATCAATGGAATGACAAAAACAAATATACATAAATTATTTTTATTCCATACACATAAATTGTGACATTTTATTTACGCAATGAATATATGAATTGATATGAATACACTGACAAAAATATAAATACCATTTATAATTTTTTTAATAGTAATATTTAACAATTACTTAATATTTGGGAGGATGCATGTTTTCAAAATAGAAATTAAATATTTACAATTGAAACAAAATAGATAGAAGGTTAGTCATCAATA